CCCATCTTCCTAATCTTTTCTTTCTGGGAATCCCAAACAGAGCTGTCCTGATTGCCTGCATGTGTTCCTGATATACCAGAGTTTGAACCCAGGGCCTTAAACACTTGCTGCTTTTATGTCACTGAGACATCTCCTTTGCCCCCTTTTAGTTTCTTCTTCTTTTTTATTATGGTTTTTAACCACACCTGCCAGTGCTTAGGACTTACTCTTGGCTCTGCACTCAGTGATAACTCCTGACAGGGTGTGGGTGATGCTGGGAATTGAACCCTGATCAGCCGTGTCAACGTGGCAAACCTCCTACCCTCGCCCCTTTTTTTCTTGTTTTTTTTTGGGCCACATCTGGCCAATGCTCAGGGGTTACTCCTGGCTTTGAATTCAGAGATTACTCTTGGCACTGTTTGCGGGACCATATAAGTTGCCGAGAATCAAACCTGGTTCAGTTACATGCAATACAAGTGCCCTACCCACTGTACTATCTCTCCAGCCCCCCCCACCCTTGGCAGTCTTAAAAGGTATCTAATTTTGAAAAATAATAGGATCTGTGAATGTCCCTGGCATGTGTGGTGCTGAATTCCATTCTGGTACCTGAGCATTGCTGCAGATGGCACTTCATAAAAAATAATAGAGCAGGAATTGATTAGATTTGTTTAAGAGAAATGTCAAATGACTGTTGAATCTTTTGAAAGGTCATTACTATTTAATTACCATTTAAAATTCAGTGCAGCAGTTAAACCTATTATTCAAATTATATGCATTTGGACAGTGTAGAGACTTTGAATTCATTTATGAACAGTAAACAAAACAGTCTAACACCATGTTAGCATTATATCAGTAATTTCCAAGAAACTGAAGTATGTTTAGTTTTTTGGTTGTTTTGTTCGTGGCCATACCCGATGATGCTCAGGGTTTACTCCTGGCTCTGACCTCACGGATCACTCCTGGAGGACTCGGGGGATCATCAAGGATGCTGGGATTGAGTATGGGCTCTCCATGTGTAAGACAAGCACCCTGGCAACTACTGTCTCCCTGGCCCTGAAATTAAAGTATATTTAGCTCAAAATCTAGTTATTTTCTAGTTGACTGTGATAAATTCCGATTATTTTTTATGTATGAATGTTGTTTTATGTTCTCTAGTGCATTTTTACCAGGTTGCCAGACAAAAGTGCTTTTTGAGGAAACTAATATGATCATTTCATCACAGATCTAAATATTATACTCATGATAAACCTGAAAAAATTACCATCAATCATTTGTTCTATATTGAACTTTTTATAGTATAATGAAGTAAATTTCAAAGAAAAACAGGTTGCAAGTACCTTTGAAATGAATTTTTCTTATTTGTTTAGGTTATAATGCACTTCTACTTGTTTTCTATAGAAGTACATCTGTCAGGAAGATTGGTTTATAATTGTCCAGTAACAAATTACTCTGAAGCTTAGCATAGTAGCATTTGTCATTCCTGTGGGTCAGAGATTCTGGACCAGTTACAAGGGTATTTCTTTAGTCTCTTGAGATTGTGTTTAAGCTGTTGATGAGTGTTGTGAGTCTTCACATTGGAACTGTAGAATGGATTTCCAGGCTCACACTTAGAGACTAATATTAAAACTAATAAGAGACCTAAGCCATTGTCCCTTGTCCTGTGTCTGCCCCACAGTTCCCCCCTCCACCCTCCATTGATTAAAACCCTTATTTCGTCACAAATGATATTATCCCTGAGGCTGCTTGAAGCCTTCTTAGATTATAATAGCTGCTTTTTGTATAATAAGTGATTCCAGAGTGCAAGTATGTGGAGAACCCTATGGTTCCTTGTTTTGATCTGTTCTCAGAAGACAGATCCCATTACCTTTGCATAGTCTCTTAAGAAGCAAGTCACTACATAGAGCCCACTCTTAAAGGGTGCATGCAAGAGCTTTATATGCATATAATAAATGCCGTGTTGGTTTCTTAATAAAGAGTTTTGTTTTTGACGCTTAGACTTAACCTTGCAGGTTTTATAAAGCAAAGTAAATGACAGATATTTGAATTATATCTTTTGAGTCTTCTATAATCATGTTTTGCCAAATTAAAAAAAAGAGTTTTTACTGTTTTGATTCTGTTTTTATTTCTCTGATACTGCTAAAGTGCTGTTAAATTCCAGATAACTGAAGGGATTGAGATCTTTTTTGGGTATTAGACTTGTAGCATTTCCTAGTTGAACATACATGAATTCTTTATTAACATTTATTAATATGTTCTTCATTGAACTTTCAGTGGAACATGTACTATCTATCCAGTGTTTAAGAGCTAAAATAAGTTAAAACTTGTTAAAGAGCAGTGAAAATGAATCAAAGGTTGTCATAACATGCATATTTATGTTTTTTCCCCTCCAAATATTAAGCATTCTTTCTGCCACTGCTCATTTGTAGTCATCTCTAATTTTCATGATAATCCCCTAATTTGTCATTTTTAAAAGTTCTTAGTTTTATTGTATCCTTGGAAACTCAATTTTCTGAACATAGTTTTTATCATTGGCATGAAATGAAGTTGTTGTCTTGATGTTACCAAGAAATTAATTCTAAGCTGGAAAGTTGATTTTAGATTGCGATTTTGCCAGACTGATCCCACAGAAAGTATAGTGGAAGAAAAATGAAGCAAAAGTGGTTTAGCAATTGTTTAGAGACTGCTAGAAATAGTTAGAAATAGTTCAAAAGTTAGGCAAGGAGGGTGGTGAGTGCATGAGGTAAGTTACAGGAGACCTTACTTGACTGTCAGCTAAGGATAGGGAGGTGGGGAGAGCGTCGATTTTTATTAGGAGTAATGTGTTGAATAGGAGTTGGTAGCTGTAACTGGAGGTTCACAGCAAAAAGTAAGTTGGAGGGCTGATTTTTGGGCAACCTACTGTAAGAGACAATTTAGTGTAGTAGTGAACTTTGGAATGTGAGAACTTTGGAATAAGAAATTTAGAGTAAAATTTGGTTTTGTAGATTTCTTTGTCTTAGTTTGCTTAAACATTTTCTGAATTTATAGTAAATGGAGAGTGACTTAAAGTACATAAAGTATGGAGCACAAGTCATGGTATGAACTTGGTATGAAGTAGTTAATTATTGCTTTTATTTTATTTTTTCTCACTTGTATAAAATAAAAAGACTTGCAGGGGCTGTAGTGATAGTGAACAAGTGGAAGTGCTTGTCTTGTTCATAGCAAATCCATATTCTGTCCCCCAACACACCAAATAGTCCCAGAGTCATACTAGGAGTGACCCTTGAGTACTGCCAGGTGTGACTCAGTTTGTTTTTTCAATTAAAAAATAGTGAATTGGTTTACAATGTTTTTAATATATTGTGACTTATGCTGGGGATCAAATTGCAGGGCCTTGCACATACAAAGCATTCACTTCTCAACAGAATGACATTTGCAGCCAATCAAGTCATCTTTGCAAATCTATGAACAGCAGGAGGACAGTGACAGTGACAAAGTCATCTTTAATTAGATAATTTAAACTTAGTTGAAAAGAGTGACTTGGCTTTTTTTTTTTTAAGTTGGATGGAGATGATTCAGGGTATCAAAAACTTTCTAAACCTTGTTTCTTCCAGTTTCCCATTTTCAACCTTACTCCCTCTCCCCAACCCATGAGTAAACAGCTATATGTTTATACTTGTGTATATTTATTACTCAATATAGTTGCATCTGAAAATAATTTCTTTTCTCCTGTGATAATGATAATTTCTTTTCTCCTGTGAAAATTCCTCCATTTTACTTTCTATTATTAATTTTTTGAGGACTCTCTGAATCAGTGCCTGGAGCCTGGTAGACATTATGGCAATACTTGACAGGGCCAGATTGGTGTTTCTTCAGCCTGGTAATGCTCAGGGTCCATACGGACCACTTAGCACTGCTGGGCAGGCGGGCATCCAGTGCTAAGGGTAGGACTTGGTTAACTTCTGTTCTCAGTTGTCGAACTTTTTACTCATATAATCAGATTACTCTTGTGAATAAGTGGTTATAAATTTTAAAAGCTCTTAATTTTAGGCAGTTTCAGAATCCGTCTTGCAGTTGTTTTTTATTTTTATAGTTTTGTGTTGTATATGGAGTATGTTATATCTCCAACCTAAGAGCTTAAAAAATAGCTGCCAATGAACCTAGAAAATGGTGGTCAGTGAACTGGAACATACACTTTACTCTGGGTTTGGTTTCCGGACCGAAAGCTACCCTGAGCACTACTGGGAGGGACCTCTGAGCTTAAACCCAGAAATAACTCCTGAGCACATTGGGTTTTGCTCAGAATGCAAAAAGTAAGAAATTGCCAGATTAACTTGGTACCTTTAATGTGTAATCTTGTTCTTATTGATTAGAATGTAACCTTTATGAAATCTAAACTTGTGTATGTATGTTGTGTCTATTTTAGACATATTTTCTGTTGATAAAATAATAATGCTTTGTGATTTTTTACATTTTCCTTTTATTGCGTGTGCTTTCAGAATTTCCCTGACTATTTTTTTGGGGGGGAAACCCTTTGTTTTATAAGTACCATATTATATTAGTTTTTGATATTTTGATATTTGTGCTTTGTTTTTTTTTTTGCTTTTAACCATAGCTTATTGGATTTTTAATACATATGTTTTGGAGGATGCTGAATAAAATCTATGTACATTTTAAATACATTACTAGTGTGAGGGGAAACATGGCAATAATACAGCAGGTAAGGCACTTGCCTTCATGTGGCTGTCCCAGGTTTGGTCCCCGGCATCTCATATGGTCGATCCCCTGAGTACCACCAGGAGTAATTCCTGAGTGCAGAGCCAGGGGTAAGCCCTGAGCCTTGTTGGGTGTGCCCAAAAAGCATAAAGAATAAAATTTTATAGGAGAAAAATATTTTTTATTGTGGTTCATGAGCCAATTTTTTATTTTACATATATTATAATTTTATCATACCCTACAAAGTCATTTTGTAACTGGAATTTGTAGAGTACACTGTTATTGATGAATTAATTCCTTCAACATTGTTTTTTTTCCCCCTTTAGCTGTGACGCAGATCCATCAGCTCTAGCAAAATATGTCCTTGCTTTGGTAAAGAAAGACAAAAGTGAAAAAGAGTTAAAGGCATTATGCATAGATCAACTGGATGTATTTCTTCAAAAAGGTAAATTGTTTGGTATTAAAGTACAATAATATATGTCATTTAATAAATTAAGACTGTTCTTGGACTGCCTCATGAGCAAAGGAGAGAAGGCAGCTAGAATAGAGAAGGGATCACTAAGAAAATGATGGCTAGAGGAATCAGTCGGGATGGGAGATGTGTGCAGAAAATAGATAAAGAACCAAACATGATAACCTCTCAGTGTCTATATTGAAAACCATAATGCCCAAAAGTAGAGAGAGATTATAGGCAATAATGTCTGCCATGGAGGCAGGGGAAGGGTGGGAAAGGGGAGTATACCGGAGATATTGGTGGTGGGGAATGTACACTGGTGGGTGGGAGTTTGATCATTGTGTGATTGTAACCCAAACATGAAAGCTTGTAACTATCTCACGGTGATTCAATAAAATTAAAAATTAATTAAGACTGTCCACAGGTATTAAAGGAATTCAGGATCAAATTTTAGCTAAGATCAATAAGCAGTACTAGAATTAATTATATCACTAGCTTTTTCCTTTAAATTAACATTTTTTTTAACTATAAATGAGAACCTTTTTATTAGCATCCTTGTTTGTTTAAATTGTTCATCTTAGTTTTCTTCCCCCACCATTTATCCTCACCCCCCTTCGTTCTATGATCTTTGTCTTCTAATTTGTCTTTTTATTTTATCTGTTCATCAGTTTTCATATCCTTATATTATACTCAGGTATAAGTGAAATCATCCAGTACTTTTCTTCTGACTTATTTTGTGTCCTGTTAACTTCTCTTAATTGCCTTCCACTTATTTGCAAATGTTATAAAAGTTTGTTTTTCTTCCTTTTTTTTTTTTAACAATTTGAAATGTACCACATTTTTTTTTGGTGGGGGGAGGGTCGGAATTGGGCTCCCACATGGTGTTCTTTCGGCCTGGGACCTCCTCTCTTCAATCCTTTCCTCAATGCTTAGTCATCTGGCCCAGCAGTTCAATGCAGGGCCGTGAACATTGTACTGCTCGGGCCTTGTGGCGCCAGGAAATATCCAGGCCACCTGGCAGTACTCAGGGGCCTCTAGGCTGCATGTAGTGATGCTCCATATTTGATAGAATATGGGTGTAATTTTTTGTGTCAACATTTTTATGTTCTTTGGTTAGATACACAAAAGTGGGATTGCTGGATCATATGGTTGCTCTGTCTTTCACTCTTCAGGGAGCTCTGTAATGTTTTCCAAAATGTTTGCATTGGTGTTGATTTCTATAATTGTGTGTGAGGATTTGTTTTTTTCTGTACCCTTTCTAAAACTTATTATTTCTGCTTTTGATGTAATCTATTCTCCTAGGTGTGTGGTGGTCGCTTACTGTGGTCCTTTTCCCATGGTATATAGTGGTGATGAGCATTTTTTCATATATTAAAATTTGTCTCTCTGAAAATTATTTTTGTTGTCAAGTTCAGTGCATTCTTTTGGGGGGGACTCAATTCAGTGCCAGAGATCAAATTGAGATTAGCTGCATGCAGAGGCAGGCTTTTTCTTTTTTCCTTTTTTTTTTTTTCTTTTTGGGTCACACCTGGTGATGCACAAGGGGGACTCCTGGCTCTTCACTCAGGAATTACTCCTGGCGGTGCTCGGGGGACCATATGGGATGCTGGGAATCGAACCCGGGTCTGCCGCGTGCAAGGCAAACACCCTACCCCCTGTGCTATCGCTCCAGCCTGAGGCAGGCACATTTTATCCCCTGTGACTGTTTTTCTGACACCCTGAATTCTTTCTTTACTTTGGATAGTAACCCCTTATTAGATGTGTGACATGCGAATTTCTTCTCTGATTCAGATTCAGTAGGCTACTCTTTATTCTCTTTGTTTTATTGTTTTTTTGCCATACCTGGCAGTGCTCAGGCTTTATGCTCACTCTTTGCCCAGATGTACCCCCAGAGGTGCTTAGAAGACTGTGCAGTGCCTGGGATTACTCCTGGGCCCTCTGCATACAAAAGCATTTGCTCATCCTCTTGGACTATCTCTCTGGCCCTCATTTTAATTTTTGTAGATATTATATACATGGGTGGAGCGATAGCACAGCGGTAGGGCTTTTGCCTTGCACGCAGCCAACATAGTCGACCCGAGTTCGATTCCTCCGCCCCTCTCGGAGAGGCCGGCAAGCTACCGAGAGTATCTTGCCCACGCGGCAGAGCCTGGCAAGCTCCCTGTGATGTATTCGATATGCCAAACACAGTAACAACAAGTCTCTTGATGGAGACGTTACTGGGCCCGCTTGAGCAAATCGATGAACAACGGGAGGACCGTTATCGCGATATACATATATATGTATAGATATTGCTGTACAAAATGAAACATTTTTAATCTACTGATACTAAAATATTTAAGAAAATGAATAAAAACTTTTAAGATAGGACCACATAGGAAACAACTTTGAATGTTGTCTAGCACTGTATTTTCAACTTGTTTATGCCTGTGAAGTGGTATCAGTCTGCAGGCTTGTGGTTGAAAACCATTAATCAAGTACAGTATTTCTCAATGTTTGTCAATATCTAGATAATTATAATTGTGCTTGGCATACTGGGCTTGGTACAAAGAAGGGCAGTTACTAGTCCAGAGGCTCTGACTCTTATAATCCCCAGCACATGAAGAAGTGAACTGGGAACATTGGTGATGGAGATTGGGCACTAGGGAGGGATGGGTACTCAATCATTGTATGACTGAAAAGTGAGCACGAAAGTTTGTAAGTTTGTAACTGTACCTCACAGTGATTCATTAAAAAATTTAAAAAGAAAAAGAAAAAAAATGAATGGGTCTATGGGTTATATAATCTCCAACACCCGGTGCCGTGAATAGGTCTATGGGTTAAGTGCCTTGGCATATTGGTTGCTATGCTATTGGTCTTAGTATAGTGGATTCTAAAAAGTGAAGGTATATTTGGTCATGTTGATTAATGTGTGAATGTGGAGAATTGATATCTTAAATATAATTTAATGTATTTAAAAGTTTTTGTTCCTTTTAAAAATTTTTTCTTCTTAGAGACACAGATATTTGTGGAAAAACTTTTTGATGCTGTGAATACAAAAAGTTATCTACCTCCTCCAGAGCAACCTTCGTCGGGTAGCTTAAAGGTAGAATTTTTTCAGCACCAAGAAAAAGATTTAAAAAAAGAAGAGGTAAGGGTTTGTCTTAAATCTAGTGTTTTTTTTTTTTTTTAGCTATAAGATGTAATTCACATGCCATTCACTTATCTATATATTGAATGATTTTTAATATATTTATCAATTTGAAATCATAATTGCTATAAAATTTTATATGTTCTTTTAAACTGTATTAAGCAATAATTAAGTTGAGTTTTATTTCCTGAATATGTTTTAGGGGTACTTAACATCACTGTCAGGTTTGATAGTTTAAGTAAGTACAAACACCTAGGGGACTCTACATATAGTTATATTTTTCACTGTGATTTCTTTCTTTTTTTTTTTTTTTCTTTTTTTAAGAGTATGTTCTCTTGTAATATCTATATTGGAGGTAACCTTCCCAATGGTGCTGGAGGCCACCAGAGTTGTCCCCTTTAGTACTTGGGAAACCATATGGTGCTGGGTATTGAATTTGCTCCATATTTTAGTAAGTGAAAAGATGCAAATAAAAACCAGTCAAGTCCCTTTAAAAATTTTTAATTTATTTTGGATTTTGGGCAACACCCTGCCATGTTCAAGGCTTAGGGGTCACTCCTGATGCTGCTTGGGTACCATGTCTGGTGCTGGGGAACAAATCAGGGTCTGCTACATACAAGCCAAGTGCCTTAAACCCTGTGCCATCTCTTCAGCCCCAGAAAAGCCAGTGGAAGGATATAAAGTAAAATGAACAAAGTGTGTGTGGTTGGGGGGGGAGTCCATGGTGTGAGGCCTGAGGGACAATAAACTGGGGAAAAGCAGGAGTAAGCTTCCAGACGCCCATGTTAGTGCAACCATAGAGGATCTGCTTAATGAGTAGTGACGATGTGTTGATCTGGGAAGGTTCTTCGGAGACTCAGTGCCGAGAGTTCTAATTTAGGACTGGTTACATAGGTTCCTTCTGCCAAATATATAACAGAATTCCAGATTCCTGGGATAAACGCAGCTATTCAGAATGGACTGTATTGTTTTAGGAATAGAACCTCTATAAATTAAAGTTCACAGATGTCAGTAATTGCAACCCAGCCTCTCTAAACATAATATTCAAAGACCTCCTTTTAAAAAATCTTTTCTGCACAGTACCTTAAAGGTATGAACTACTGTCTCCTGTGATCTGTGAAACTAGTGAGTGACAACAGATGTGTTTCACTCTATTTTACACACATTTGGCTGGGGTCTGCTTTTTTAAGATAGTCAAATAAAAATACCTTTATGGGGGAGTGGAAATAACTTCATACTTTAATAGGTTTTGAAGTTGTTGCCTTTTTACATTTGGGAAGAGTACGACTCTTTCCCCAAAAGACTCGTATAGTTTAAATCTCTTTAATGTGATGTTTAAAGATTGTAATTCAAGCAAAAATAGTTCTGGACAATTAAACTATTATATTTCTGTTGTGAGCCTAGTTTTTGGACAAACAAATCTTGGTTTAAATGCTAACTTACCATTTACTGCTTAACTACCTTGAAAATACTTCTGAGCCTCAGTTTACCCAGCTATAAATTGGAAATAACACAGGATTATTGAAGAGTAGGAAAATAATATAGTTCTTAGTATAGCATATGAAAAATAGTAGGTTCTCAGTAAATGACAGTTTTTGTAATTATTAAAAGATTCATATATGGTGGAAGATGTAGTTGTGATTTTAGTTTTTCCTTTAGACTTAATAATGTATTTTTCAGATGATGAAAGTAACAAATGAATATCATGTAATGTAAATAGATTTTTTTTGTGGGGGTGTATATAAATAATACGTAGATTACAAAACTTGATTCAGCAGTTCATGAATTTGTTTATTCTCTAAATTCTGATTTTCTAGTAACGCTTACTCATATCCTTGTGGAATTGCTGTTATGTCCTTGTGAAATCAGTGTTCTAGGCAGTTTAGCAGGGACAATTGCGGCCCAGATAATTTGAGGCTAATGAAGTGAATGCTTTCCAAGATTGCTTTTTATATAACTACTTAGATTCTTTTTAGAAAGGAGAATATATATAGCTTCTGCGCTGCTTTGAGAAACTGGAGAATTTTATTTTATGTATTGTTTTCTCAGTTGTTCTCCCCTTCTCTCTCTCTCTCTCTCTCTCTCTCTCATGATTTGGCTAATTTTAATGCATCATACTTACGCTATATGCTTTAAATGTCTCACTATTGATGTAATAAAGAATGAGAATTTATGAGCTTTTTTTTTTTTCACTAGTCAAGTTTTCAGTTTTTGTACCAAGCATGTTTTTTTCTTTTTCTTTTGTGGTACTGAGGATTGAAAAGTAATGGTTAAATGATTATACTTAAAAGAGAAATCTATTTTGTTTGAATATTTTAGAAGCTTCGATCCTTTAATTTCTATCAGGTCATTGAAATAGTGACCTTACAAGGAACAACATGTTAAACACTACACTGTTTTTCGTTAGATCACGAAAGAAGAAGAGCGTGAGAAGAAGTTTTCCAGAAGACTAAATCATAGTCCTCCCCAGTCAAGTTCCCGATACAGAGAAAACAGGTGATTGTTTGATTGATTGATTGATGTTCACTGTCTAGACAGATGTGCTTCAACCTTTTTATATCTGCTCCTCCGCAGCTGTCCTGCATACTGGCCCATGACGTGGCAGTGAAAACTGAGGCAGCCAACCAGTGTTTACAACTTTTCTACAACCAGTCAGTGAACTGGAGTTTGAAGACCACTGGTGTAGCATGATTATCTTTTATTTGAATGTTTAAACTTTGAATATCTTTTACATTGGGTTACAAATAAGTTTCATTTTGTCTTAGGAAACAAAGTATCAATTGGTCTTTCCCTACCAAGAATATATAGATCTTGGGATTTGTAGGCTCTGTTAGTGAAAATTGAGTTAATGCTTGGCAAATATTTTTTATTATCAGATTTAAAGGCCAGTGAAAATTTTTTTTTTTTTTTTTGCTTTTTGGGTTACACCCAGCCATGCTCAGGGATTACTCCTGACTCTGCACTCAGGAGTTACTCCTGGCAGTGCTCAGGGGACCATATAGGATGCTGGGGATAGAACCCGGCTTGGCCGGATGCAAGGCAAATGCCCTCCCTGCTGTGCTATCGCTCCAGCCCCAAGGCCAGTGCAATTTTAATGGGAAACCTTCTGCCTACCTCTCTGTCTTTCCCCCACCCCCCGACATTTCTTTTTCGTGCAAAATTATTTTTCCCATTAAGGCTTCAAATACATTTATAGTAAGGTGAATATGATTCATTTCTATGTACAGGAGCCTGAGCGATAGTACAGTAGGTAGTACACTTAGATAATACAGTAGATAATACACTTGTCTTGCACATGGCTGATCCGAGTTCAATCCCTGGTACCTTGTGTGGTCCTCCAAGCCTGCCAGGAGTGATCCCTGAGCACAGAACCAGGGGTAAACCCTGAGTATCTCCAGGTGAAACCCAAAAAAGAAACTAAAAGATTATTTACAAGGCAATAATACATACTGTGAGATGTTTCTACAGAGGCTTAAATGCAGAGATGCTTTGCTGTGTAAAACTAAACACCAGGAAAAGGTTATTTTCCTCTCAAAGTATTATCCTTTAAGTACTGAAGTTCTTTTTTTTCAGTATGAATGAGATAGAGTCAATAATTGGTTTTCTGAATTTCCTAGACTTGTATTCTGATGGTGGGGAAAAAGAATAATCAGTGGTTAAATATCACTTTTTCTGATCTTACATTTCTTTTAGAAGTCGTGATGAGAGGAAAAAAGATGATCGTTCCCGCAAGAGAGATTATGACCGAAACCCTCCTCGAAGAGACTCTTACAGAGACCGATACAATAGAAGACGAGGGCGAAGTCGCAGTTACAGCAGGAGTCGGAGTCGAAGCTGGAGTAAAGAGCGCCTTCGCGATAGGGATAGGGACAGAAGCAGAACACGAAGCAGAAGCAGGACGCGAAGCAGGGGTAAAAATCCACATATCTGTATATTTTGTCATTTTTTGGTTGTTTTGGGGGCCATACCTTAAAGCTGGAGGCTTGGTGCTCAGGGGACTTAACCCAGGGCTTCACGTGCGGGGCAGTTGCTCTGTCATTGAGCAATATCCCCAGCCCTTGTGTGTGTGCAAACCTTCGTATTTGAGGGCTTTAAATTTGTTTCAATTTTTGTCAGTGTATTCGTCATTTTTTGTTTTGATAGATTTTGTGTTCCAAGTGAATCCTTCAAAAATATGTCACTTTATGAAAGTAAGCCACTACATTTTTAGTGCAGTCCCACCAGAATGACTAAAATTAAAAAATTGATTTTATTCAATGTCGATTAGACTGAAGAACTCTTTGGAAAATACTTTGCCAGAATATTTAAAATAATAGTGCCCACCTACCAGATGACCTAACACATTCTTTTTTTCTAGGTATTTATTTGTCTTAGAAGAAGACATAAATGTATATTTCTGTACACAGACGTATACTTAAGTGATAATAGTAACTTGATTTCTAATGGCCAAAACCTAAGTAAATTGTGGTACAATTTCTGAGAATAAAAGGAAGGAAAGTATTGATACATTAAACATTGATATGTCCTAAAGTAATTATACTTGATAAAAAAGAGTGTATATTTATATAAACATTTTTAAAAAGCAAATTATGAGAGAAAACCAGTTATTTTCAAGGATATTGGGTGGATTACAAAAGGGGATACTCTTGGGATTGATGAGTATGTTCCATGTTGCATTGCCAAGTTTCACAGGTATATATATATATATATATATAGGTTAAAATTCATGAAATTGTATACTTTAATTTGTAGTGGAGGGTTTGGGCCACACCTGAGAATACTGTGTGGCTACTCCTGGCTTTGTACTTAGGGCTCACTCCTAGCTGTGCTGGAGGAACCACATGCAGTGCCAGGGATCAAACCAGTGTAATCTATGTGCAAAGCAAATGTCTAAATCCCTGAACTTTTTCTCTGCCCCTGAATTGTGTACTTTATGTTCAAATAATTATGTTTCAGTTATTATCTAAAAACTATTAAAAAAATTGCATTTCAGATTTTTGTATTTATAAGAGCATGCCATTTCCAGCATGTATAGTTTCTCTTTCAATCTATATTATGGAAAGGAAGGTATTGCAGGCAATAAAACAGCTATGACACTTTTGAGTAAGACACTTTTTATTCAAGCTTAGACTTTTTCTACCCTTACAGTCTTCATTGTTACCTTTAGTCTTGAGGAAATGGTATTTCTGTCTTGGCCTTTGTATAAGCTTTGTAACTTCTCTGTTACACTTTTTTTATTTTGGGGGTTGTCGGTGGGGAGTTTGCACCGTATCTGGTGCTTAGGTAATTCCTGGCAGTGCTCAGTGGAGTAGAGGAGATTGGGCAGTGCCAGGGAACAAACTAGGGTCTACTGCATTTAACCCCATACTATCTGTCTGGCTCCCAGTTTCTTTTTTTCTTTTATTTACCTCTGTGATCTAGGTATAGTATGTTGCTGCACATTCTTCACTTATTCCTTTATTTTTTACTTTATTTTGTGGGCCATGCCCAAATCTTAGTCCTGGCTTGCAGTCAGGGATCATGCCTGGCAATGCTCAGGGACCATATGGGGTGCTGGCAATCGAACCCAGGTTGGCTGAGTGGAAGGCAAGTGTTCAACACACTATTTTATCTCTCTGACTCTTCACTTACTCTTTAATAGTGTTTTCTTTCCTTGTGACCATCTGATAAAAGCCAAGTTAATTTCTTTATATTTAATATGAACTCGTTTTTTTCTTTAAAAAAAAAGTTTATTTTTGGGCCACACTTGGCAGTACTTATGACTTACTCTTGGCTCTGTGTTCAGGAGTCACTCCTGGTGAACTCTGGCGACCATATGAGATGCTGGATATTGAAATGCCAGTCTGCCATGTACAATGCAAATATCTCTGGCTCCTAAATTCATTTTTCTACCTTTTTGGTTCATTCATTCTCACCTTCTCTGACTAATGTGTATTATAATAAACTATTGTATATTTCTTTTATGCTTACAAAATATAATCTACTGTGTAATTCTGACATGTTTATGAGCTAGTTTTTAGGGTTTTTAGATGGATAACTAAATGTTCATTGAATAAGTTACATTTTTAGTATGTATTTTACATATGGACTGACTTTATACTAAGCTGCAAAAGTAGGAAAATATATTTACTGAAACAACTCCAAGAAAAAAATACATGTTACAATAAGTGGTTTTATAGTGTAGTTTATATCGCAGAGACATAAATAGCTTCTCTTAGAACATTGTATATTTAATGAATACTTTTAAAAGTGGAATTTGTTTGATTTTGAACATTTTCTCTGAATAGCTAAAGTATCACTGTTGTTTTTTGTATCTGGGATATTTTAAAAAATAGTGTATAGTTTTATAAGCCATTTATATTTTATTGCAGAAAGGGATCTGGTAAAACCTAAATATGACCTGGATAGAACAGATCCATTAGAAAACAATTATACTCCAGTCTCTTCAGTACCTAATATTTCATCTGGTCACTATCCTGTACCTACTTTGAGCAGCACGATTACAGTAATTGCTCCTACTCATCATGGTAATAACACTACCGAAAGTTGGTCTGAATTTCATGAAGACCAAGTGGACCATAACTCATATGTGCGACCACCTATGCCAAAGAAGCGGTGTAGAGACTATGATGGTAAGGCTTTCAGTTGCTTCTTGATGTAGTGAATTAATTACTTCTAGGTGACTTTATTCTGTACCTTTAAGTTGTAAAGGATTATGCAAAGACTTATAGAAAGTGGAAAAGTAAGTCTTTAAGCTCTTTCTGAAATTTGTCAATATTGAAACCCTTTTAAGTCACCAATGACTATTAAACATAAATATGAAAGTAGCATTTATTTATGTATTTTTGTAATTAAGTGAGTGAGTCATTTCCACTGAGTTAAGGAATTTGTTGAGAAGACTCACTTGAAGGCATGTGTGAGGCCTTTGATTATATTTATTTTCCATATTTTAAAGAGTTTTACGTAAGATTTAAGTTAGGGAAATGTTTTTAATGACAAAAGTAGGACTGTATTTGTACATGCAAGTTTTATATCATTTTGCTAGCCAGGAATATTCATTTTAATTTTGTTTTTGTTTCTTGGTTATCTTTTGGTGGTGGTGGTGGTGGGAGTTTGGGTCACAGCTGGCAGTGCCCAGGGCTTACTCCTAGCTCTGCTCAAGGATCACTGCTGTTGGTACTCAGGGTGCCATATGCAGTGCTGGGGATTGAACCAGGATCAGATTGCATGTAAGGGTTTATCCATTGTACTATCTCTTCTGCCCCCGGTGATAGTTTTTAAGAATGTATGTTAGCCATAATATTGGTCACTTTTAAATTATTATGAATTAGTAGGTAGCTCTTTATGGATTGATTATACTATACTCAATATTAAAGATGCTCTTGTTTCTATTCTGGTGCTGGGGACTCAACCCTGGGTTTCACACATAGAAAAACTGTGTTCCACCACCCAGTCACATTCTGGCCAAAGATAGGCCTATTTTGAAATATCTTACTTTTATTACCTTGATGCCCAACTCATGTTTATTTCTTTTAACTATATTCCTCACAGAAAAGGGTTTCTGTATGAGAGGAGACATGTGCCCTTTTGATCATGGAAGTGATCCGGTAGTTGTAGAAGATGTGAATCTTCCTGGCATGCTGCCTTTCCCAGCGCAGCCTCCTGTTGTTGAAGGACCACCTCCTCCTGGCCTTCCCCCACCTCCCCCAATTCTCACACCACCACCGGTGAATCTGAGACCTCCGGTGCCTCCACCAGGCCCATTACCTCCCAGTCTACCACCTGTCACAGGTGAGTAAATAAGTCTGTGTGCCTGTGTGTTACTTGTTTATTCATAATTTGTTTTTAAGAAAGTAGTTTGATGCTTGCTTTTGTAAGAAAGTAAAATATTCCTATAGAAGTTTACAGCTGCTGGGAACTAAGTGCAGGGTACTTCTGTTGCCCTGTATCCCAGCCTTGAAGGCTGTTTCAGACCGGTGGTCTCCTATGATTTTGGAGTGGCCTTGAATTTTGCATGTTCCTAATGAATCCCTGCTATTAGTGATCCTTTATAACTTAAGTAAGCTCATTTTGGAAGATATTAAAAGGTACTTTGTTCTGTAAATGAATATATAGTCATGAGTTTGATGTTTATAGATATTGTGGTTTGATAAATGAGAATATTGTGTTGGGATGTACAATAACCTTTTTTTATTTGTTTGCTTTCAGATGATGTTTCTTATTCTTTGGTTTTGACAGGACCACCACCACCACTTCCTCCTTTGCAGCCATCTGGCATGGATGCTCCCCCAAATTCTGCCACCAGCTCTGTTCCTACTGTAGTAACAACTGGCATCCATCACCAGCCTCCTCCTGCTCCACCTTCTCTTTTCACTGCAGGTGCAGTTTTGGCCCTCTATGTACTTTCAGTGAAATTTAGCTTTAGAACAGAATTGTATTTGAGCAATTAAATGCCTAGAGCTCTATCAGTTTTTTCTCATTTAAATGACAATATGTAGAAATGGTGATTATATAGTAAATGTTGTTTTAAATTAAGTTGTCTCAATGAAGTTTTAATTTATAAGACAGTTTTAATTTTTATATATTTAGTATATAAGCCCTGTTAAATATTAGCAGAATGTTACATACATGTGTACTTTTTCTATTTGAAACGAAAATATTATTAAGTGGACTTCTATAATTGTTTTTTAATTACAGTTTTTGTATTACCAGATACATATGACACTGATGGCTATAATCCTGAAGCCCCAAGCATAACAAACACTTCCAGACCTATGTATAGACACAGAGTGCATGCACAAAGGCCTAACTTGATAGGACTGACATCAGGGGATATGGATTTGCCACCCAGAGGTACTGTGATTCATCTTTTCTTCTTAACATTTTCATAATATCAGGAATAGCAAAACATTTACACACAACCCATAATTGGAAGATGGTAAATATGTTTATTAGATCCTTTTGTCACTCTTGAGACAAAATGTCTCCTTCCCTTTGTTTGGTATTTGTTATGCACACTTTTATCCACGGGAAAGCATATATTTCTCAGGTAACTTTACTTGCAGGCATAATTTGGTTCAGTTAAACTCCTTGAAGTAATAATTTCATTAATAAAAGTAGATTCTTCCCAAGTTTGAATAATAAAATGAGGTGTATAGACTTGTGCTTGATAGACATTTTGTATTTGATTTCTTGACGTGTTAAATTTTTTTTTTTTGTTTTCTGTTATGACCCAGAAACCAAACAACAAAAATAATAACAAAGAAATAGTGCTGAGGCATATCCTAAATTCATTTAGGTAGTTGTTTGTAAATACCAAGAATAGGATTAATCCAACTAATTTGTTTAATTTAAAAAAAATTATAAGTTGAATTTTTTCTGTATGGATTGTTTGCATTAGTGTTTCCATATGAACAAATATTTTTAACTTTCTTATCATTTGAGATTAACATTAAATAAACAGGTTTGGTGAAATGTACAATGTACATCAAAATTTCATCAACTGAAAAATAGATATTTCTGTTCTCTTGTACTCGAATATTTAGTTTTTATAATCAAATATACTTAACTTTTTCTTCTTTGTTTTTGTTTTTTTGGACCATGCCAGGCAGTACTTAGGGGATACCCCTGGCTTTGCACTCAGAAATCACTCCTGGCAATGTTCAGGGTACCATATGTGATGCCTAGGATTGAATCCGGGTTAGCCACGTGCAAGGCATACACACTGTATTATCACTCTGGACCCTAATATCAAGTATACTTTCAATTATGTTTATAAAGTCCCTCACTTTATCATCTCATTTCTAAAATTTTATTAGATATTAGTGTTAAAATTTATATCTTTAGGTTGTACATTTATTTTTTAAACTATGAGCTCAGAGTTGAAGATGATTTGTTTGTGTATTTCTGAAGAGGACGATGACAGATGGGAAGAATGTCATGGGCTTGTAGAGTTTAATTTGGGGCTGAAGAGATAGTGCAACAGGTAAGACATACAGCCAGTAAGCACTTGCCTTGCTTGCGGCTGACTGAGATTTGATCCCCAGCATCCTGTATGGTCCCCTGAGCACCACCAGGAATAAAATCATGAGTGCAGAGCCAGCGTTGCTGGTGTGGTCCCCCCATCTCTACCCAAAGCAGTTTAATTTAACATGGAATTACTGATTCTTCACAGAAATGAGTTAAAAAAAATCCCTTGGCCTGTTATATTTAAATGTACATATCATTTAAAATGATATATATGGTATAAATATATGATAAAACATATAGTTTTAAAATGTATATTTGGACAAAATCCTAAAATTTTGTTTTCAATACGACTTAAGGAGGTAATGATATAATATTAATCTCTGTTTTCTTCGCCCTGCCCCCCTTGTTTTCAAACAGATAAGCCTCCTAATAAAAGCAGTATGAGGATAGTGGTGGATTCAGAGTCAAGAAAAAGAACCATTGGTTCTGGAGAGTCTGGAGTTTCTACAAAGAAGACTTGGTTTGATAAGTAAGCTGGCAGGAAAAATTGAAGAATTTTTATTGTTCAGTGGTTTTATGTGGGCCAGGGCGGGGGGAGTGGTGCTTAAGAGACTTTGGGGGCCATCCCGGTGATTCTTGGCCAAGAGGGTAAGTGGTTCAGTGTAGGCAGTCTGAGGATGCCATGCTGCTCAGGCCCTGTGATGCCGGGCATTCCCTGGCCCACCTGGCAGTGCTGGCGGCTCATGGGGCTGTGCTTGTGTTGCTCCGGGAACAACCTGAACTTGACCATTTTCAAGGCAGTTCCCTTAACCCATGTGTTATCTTTCTAGCTCTTGGGTAGTACTTTTTAGAATAGTTGCACTGTTAAGAAAGTACACTATTCTTGTTCAAAATAAAATTAACATTTTTCTGTTGACTTCCACTAAAGTACAAATTGTTTTTTTTATGTGTGATAGAGAACACCAAAAAGAGGATGCCTTTGGACATCCTTTGACATCCAAGCAAAATACGTTGAATTTAGCTATCATTGAATATGATCAAGATTGTGATCCATCATTAGGGCAGGAAGTGTGTGTTCAACTCTGGGAGGCAGCCCATTTTGTTTGTAATCCTGTAAGAGGTAGAAAGTGCTCTGGATAGGCATTCAGCATGTCAAAGAAGGAGTTCAGAGAGATGCTTTTATTTTTGTTTTGTTTGTGTGCTTGTTTTTGGACCATACCCAGTGATGCTCAGGGATTACTCCTGGGTCCTATACTCAAGAATTACTCCTGGTAGTGCTCGGGAGATCATATGGGATGCCAGGGAATCGAACCCTGGTCTACTACATGCAAGGCAAACACCCTACCCTACCTATACTATCTCTCCGACCCCAGACTTCAGAGAGATGGATAAAGAATCAGAATGTCTATGAGATGATAATTTTCTAAATTTGCAGTTGTGAGAAGGGAAATAATGATCATGCTTATGAAGCTTTAACATTGTTTCAGTAATGATTTTTGGCTTTATCTTTAGTCCTGTGAAGCAGTGTAACATTTATGAATCTACCATTTTGTCCTTTTATTCAAGTGTCAAATGTGTGCTGTATAGTTCCAACAAAATTCTCCTTAAGTTGAGAAATGATTAAGAATAAAGGCTGTGCAGATTGGCTAATATTCTAAGTAGGAGGTAATCAGAAATGAAAAGTAATTTACCTCTGCTAGTTGACTTCTTAAAATATGCTTGCACTACTGATTTGAAAACTAATTTTGGAAGAAAATTTTAATTTACCAACCAGTAATTTCAGTTTTGAAAAAAAAAAGTAACCTAAGTAAGTTTTGACTCTTAATTCTTTTGTACTTAATACTTGGATTTATAAGGAAATATTATTTGGTGTTTTTTTTTTGTTTCTTTGTTTGTTTTTTTGCTACAGACCAAATTTTAATAGAACAAACAGTCCAGGGTTTCAGAAAAAGGTTCAGTTTGGAAATGATAATACCAAACTTGAACTTCGGAAAGTTCCTCCAGAATTAAATAATATCAGCAAACTTAATGAACATTTCAGTCGCTTTGGGACCTTGGTGAACTTACAGGTAAGAGCCAGAAATCATTTGTTGTCTTTACCTAGTTATTTTAGGAGGGATCTTAATGTAGTACGAAGAAAACCACTAGAGCAGTGTGATATTGGTTATTTTTGATAATAAATACCAAATAAGTTTGGTAGTCATCAGTGGTTGGAAAATTGAACACGAGATGAAGGTTTGTTTTTTAGCAAAACTTGTCATTGAATGCTTTTTACTTAGAAAAGGCATATTATTAAGATACTTTTTGTATGTCATTATTATAATTATGATTGGTCATATTATTAAATACTTTTTGCATAAGTCATTGTTATTAAATTACAGAAAAGATAGTGATAAAATATAATCTAGTACTTTTTTTTCTCCTTAGGGTTTTTTGTTTGTCTTTTGAGGGCGGACGTGGGGGATGGGGAAGCACACCCAGAGTGCTCAGGGTTTGATTTCTGGCTCTGTGTTCAGGGTTCTCTTGGTGTTGCTTGGGGGACCACCTATGGTGCTGAAGATTGAACCCAGGTCAGCTCCTTGCAAGCACTCTACCCACTCTGGCCTCGTTTCATTAGTTTCTAAACATCATTTCAGTGGAATATTTCAGTCAGTCAATCATTCTGACCGATTAGTCAGAATTAAAATTAAGTTTATTTTTTCCTCTCACTTTTGAACAGTCTTCAAGATGAATACAGGCATAATTTATTTTAATTTAATTTTTAGTTTGTGTGTGTTGCGACCTCCCTAGAGTTGCTCATGAGATCTGGGGTTCTTCCTCAAGATTCTTAACAACTGTCAACTACAAGGGCCTATGGATGTGGTGCTCCTTGGGTTCTGTGGTGCACAGGACCACCCACACAATCCAGCAGTGTTGGGGGCCTTCAGGACTGCACCTGGTGTTGCATAGGGAACTATGTGGTACTGGGGATGGAACCAGAGTTAGCTGTGTGATAGGCCTTGTCCTATCTGAAGCCCTAGAAGTGATACAACAATTTTTCAGAGTTGAGATGAAAGTATATGTTGTTTCAGTTTGCATTTCTTTGTTCATGAGGTTCTGTCATCTTTACTGATCATTTTGCTATATCTGCATACTGACATACTTGTGTAACTAAGCATATAAAATATATGCTTTTGAAAATCAACTTAACCTCATCCTAATTTATAATATATATTCAAGTTCCAATTGTAAAATGCTCAAAAACTATCCTTATATTGAATAATTATTAGATATTTGCTGTATCATTCTGATTTATGAATCAATACTGCAGAGTGGGTATTATTATTCTCTTTATGGATTTAGGAAGTGGAAACACAGAAAGGTCTAATAATTCTCTCATCTTCCATGGGTATAACAGTCAGGGTTTTAGCTGGGTTGCTTAATTCAGGTCAGTTTGGTTCATACTCAGTTTTTATTGCTATAAATTGTCAGTGGTTTATATACTACACTTTTGGAAAACACAGCTATTACGGAAAGAACAGAAAATTTCAACTGAGATGTGTTGGATCTGTTACATAATAGTTTAATAGGTCCATATACTCAACTTACTTTTTAGAATCAGTTTCCTTATTTGTAAATCATAATTGTTGACTTTTATTAAGTAGATCCTTATAGTTTCTTAAGCTCTCTTCTAGTCTTGAAAATGTGAGAATTACAGATTAGGAAGAAAAATTTTGTAGGTTTTTGTGTGTGTGTGTATGTGGGGGGGAGCAGGAGACAATTCTGGGGATCAAATCCAGTGCTCCGTGCATGGAAAGCATACACTTTACCTTCGAGCTACAACTCTAGCCTACAAACTTGGAAAATATTATGTATGGAGTTTTCTTAAAGTCTGTGGTTAGAATTTCCTCTTTTCAATTGCTATACTGCCTTTTCCTGATGTGTTATATAAATTATCATATCCCTCATTGATGAGTATTTCTCAGTGTATTGGAGATTAAAAAAGTTATCACTTTGAACTGTTACATAAAATAATTTGGTTTTGATACTGTAATGCACAATTCTTGACTAAGATTTTCTACGTATTCTATAGAGGAGGGTCTTGTCTACTCTGAATAATGCCCAGTTAACTGTATCCTATGTAGATAAGTAGAGTGTTATAATATACGTACAAATAAGTTTAAACATAGATTCATACTTGGAAGAACCAGTATTTCAGGTCAGGAATTTTACTGTATAAAGCAATAGATATGTTTGTAAATGCATTGTATTTCATTTCTAAACCATAGGTTGCCTATAATGGTGATCCTGAAGGTGCCCTTATTCAATTTGCAACACATGAAGAAGCAAAGAAAGCAATATCTAGTACTGAGGCAGTACTAAATAATCGCTTTATTAAGGTGTATTGGCACAGAGAAGGAAGCACCCAGCAATTACAAACTTCTTCTCCAAAGGTAAGAGAGAAATTTACGTGAAATTAATGACTTTGAAAATTCTAGGGGACCCATGCAGTAATACTGTGGGTAGGGTGCTTGCCTTGCATCGACCAACCAGGATTCTGTCACCAGCACCAGTCACCTGAGTACTACTGGGTGTGGCCCAACTCCCAACCCTACAGAAGGGGGTATGGCAGGAGAGGGGAGAGTGAGGAGAGTGGGGAGAGGGGAGAAGAGGAGAGGGAGCTGGAAGAGGGGAGAGAGAGAGAGAGAGAGAGAGAGAGAGAGAGAGAGAGGAGGTGAGCATGCCTCAAGGTCAGGTAGATTTTAGTTAAGATCTTTTCTCTATCATTAATTGTACAACTTGAGGAAGTTTCTTAACTTTATAGCACAGCGGTAGGGTGTTTGCCTTACAAGCGGCCAACATGGCCGACCCGAGTTTGATTCCTCCGCCCCTCTCGGAGAGCCCGGCAAGCTACCGAGAGTATTTGATATGCCAGACACAGTAACAACAAAGTCTCCAATGGAGACGTTACTGGGCCCGCTCGAGCAAATCGACGATCAACGGGAGGGCCTTTACCTTTTACCTTTAACCTGTTCTCTCATTATGTACTGAAGTTAATTCCTAGTTTGGACAATTAAAATATATATGTATAGTTTCTCTCAGTGAGCTCAGTAAGCTACCGAGAGTATCCCACCTGCACAGCAGAGACTGGCAAGCTCCCTGTGGCATATTCAATATGCCAAAAACAATAACAATAACTGGTCTCATTTCCCTGACCTGAAAGAGCCTCCAATATGGCACCATTGGGAAGGACGAGTAAGGAGAGGCTGCTAAAATCTCAGGGCTGGGACGAATGGAGACGTTACTGGTGCCTGGTCGAGCAAATCGACGAACAACAGGATGACAGTGATATAGTGATGTGAAGTTTCTAGAAAAGTCCCTGGTGGATAGGAGTCCACTTAGTTCATTGTTGCTATACATATTCCAGAAACTTAGGCTATGGGTTCATCTTGGAAAGCTTTTCTTCTCCTCTTTCCTCTTTGTTTTAACTAGTGAATCAGTCAATTCTGTTACATTAATTACCTGTAATATAGCAGCTCCCTGCCCCCTCAGTTTATTTCTTTTCATTAGAGGGAGAGAAGAGAGTGAAGGATAGATTCCACTTTCAGTTTCATTTAAAAAATAATTTCATGCAAAATATATATGTGTGTGAACATATTGTGATTATAAATTACACTTTCAATGTAATTCTGCATGGCAATTTTACAGAAACGTAATGAAATTACTTAAATGCTTATGAACTAATAAGCTTATTTAACAAATCTTATTTTGAGGTCATACAGCCTTTAGTCCAGCAGCCCATTTTACCAGCTGTGAAACAGTCAGTCAAAGAGCGGTTGGGTCCAGTACCTTCAAGTACTCTTGAACCAGCAGAAGCCCAGAGTGCCAGTTCAGACCTTCCTCAGGTAAATGAAGCCTTATTATTGAGCTTTTTGTATGAAGGATTTTCAGTATATTAGTTTTGGTGATTTAAATTCTAGTTTTATACAAAAATATAGTAGTGTATACATCCTTGAAATCAGTTTGTAAGGGTTTTTTTTTTCCCATTGTCATACTTTTTTTTTGTCCTGTTTTTCATAGTATTTAAATTGTAAATTCTTCTCTAATACTTATTTTTTGAAAAAGAATTCTCTTCCACTTTATGAGGAGATTTTTCAGCAAACCTGCCTGAAAAATGATGGTCAGTCATCAGTAAATCTTACTGCTCCATCATCTTTCACTTAACTTGATTTCTATTCCAGAGATAATTATTTAGTAGACTGAACTGAAAGCTTTCGGAGACTTATTTAATCTATCGGGTTTTTACGTGCTTCAATTTTACTATTTCAGATTACTTACAGTGCACTCTCAGAGCCTGTATCCCTCATTCCTGACTCTCAGACACACTTCTCCATGTTATTCCCTTCCCACTCCCTTTCACATTTGAGTGGCAATTTCTTGATTCTGTACCCACAGTCTCTGAAATTTAGCTTTCCATTGTCTCTGGTTGTTTCAGCATTTGATATGAGTGAGAGTGAGGATGTGGTGTCCTACTTAACCGATGGGTGCCATCTTATTTTATTGTCCTTCTAGATAATTCCTGAGGAGTTAAGATACTGAGATTCTATTTAAAAGCTGCAAAATGTAGTCTGGTAAAATATCAGTTACTGGAAAAAAAAACTCATCCCAATCCTATTATCCCAAATTGTTGCCAAATAAAGTGCACTTGGCTATAAAAGAAATATATTTAAGAAAAGAAGAAGTTTTATTTATAGTTCTCAGTTAAAAATTGTATTTTTGGGGGGAGGGAGGGCCACTCCCAGTGGTGCTTGGAGATTAGTGCTCAGGATCACTCAAGGCTGTGCTGGGAGACCCATATTCAGTTCTAGGGATCGAACCTGTTTTTGGCATGTGCTAGACAAGCACATTAACCCCTGTCTCTTTATTATTATTAATTTATTATTTTTTATATGTATTTTTTGGTGTTTGGGCAACACCTGGTGATGGTCAGAGATCACTGCTAGTGATACTTAGGGATTCTGGGGATTAAACCCAGGTTCGCTGCTTGCAAGGCAAACGTTCTACTTACCATACTATCACTCAGGCTCTAATTATTATTATGATTTTGGGGCCACACCTAGTAGTTTTCAGGATTTACTCTGGATCTGTGCTCAGGGATCACCCCTGATGGGGCTAGGGACCATTGGGGTGCTGTGGCTCAGATCTGGGTTGGCCTCATGCAAGGCAATTGCCCTATCTCCTGTAATACTTTTCCAGCTCTCCTTTTATTAATTTTTAATAGAGTGTTCCTAGTTTTGCTTGGAAAATCAGGGACTATTCTTGGTGATACTTGCGCCCCACAACATAAGGGTTTAGTGGTTGGGCCCACTGATGCGGTATTGCTTGAGTCTAGTGGTATTGAGTGACACCAGGGTCCCACATGCTGGTTGTGGATGCTGAGGAGTCAGGTCGAACTTGAGGTCCCTAGTGTGCATGCTATTTGTCTCCCTGACCTGTGTGAGTTGCCTCCCTGTTGGAATCATTTCTCTGACCCAAAAGGTATAACCTGAGGTCAGATATATATATATATATATATATATATATATATATATGTATATATATATATTTCCCTGACCCAAGAGGTATAACATGAGGAACAGGCAGGTAAAATAATTAGATCGTATTAGTAAAGTCCTAACTTTCTTATCAACATAGAATTCTAAAAATCTATGGTTCTGTGTCATGGAAGGAACCTTGGCAACCTAATTCAAACTTACCTTACTTTGTAATATTTTATGATAGAGTAACATTGCATACTGTTTGCTTTTCACACACATTTTCTTTGAAAAGGCTCGTTCTTGTGATTAACATTTATATCTACAGTGTCAGTATTACATGCTAGTAGAATGAGAATGTTCAACATCCCAGTGAACTTATACATGCTTGGGGAAACACTGAATATGTCCATTTTAATTTTTTTAGAATGTAACTAAGTTATCTGTGAAGGACAGGTTGGGTTTTGTATCAAAGCCATCTGTTTCAGCAACTGAAAAGGTAAGAAGAATAGCATGATGTGTTTGTCTTGGCTTCATAAATGTTTTCAGATGGCATCTTAATTTTTTAATTTTTTCCATAGTTCTAAACTTTTGCTTCTTAATATTATCTGTATCTCTTGTTCCTACCTTATTGCTTTCCATTTGCTGAAAAAGAAAAATACTGCCTACCTTTTTTCTTTTTGCTTCAGCATTTTAATACTTGTCACTTGCTGTTTTTCCATGTGCTTCATACTTATGTTTTTTATTTTATTGTATTTGTAAAGATGTTGTGTATTTAATGGGAAAGCTTTAGTGCCCTAATTGAAAAGGCCATGAATTTAGAATTTAACTTGACTTTTAGCTATGACTCATCACTTAACTAACTGCATGACTGTGGGTAGTATTTTTAACCTTTCTGAACTTTTCATGTTACTGGTTAAATGGTGATGGTAATAATTGTCTTTCTCATGGGATTTTGTGAAGATTAAATAAAACAATTCAAGTGTTTTCTGACCAGAAAAGTGGGATGTAAATGTTGCTAACACCTATTACAGCATAGCCTGACAATACATTTATTTCTGTTTTTAAATGATTGGTAAATACGGATTAGATTATTTATGAACTTAACTGGTACTTTTTGTCTATTTATGTGTGAATGAATACTTTGATCTTAAAATTTTAGGATTAGATACTCTAAGGCAGTAAGACCCCAAAATAGTCTTGTAGTTGATTTATATTTTGAGCTGTGTTAGGACTGGAATCTGTGTCTTGTATTTCTTCTTTCTTTTTTTTAATGCTTTTTGGGTCACACCCGGCGATGCACAGGGGTTATTCCTGGCTCTGCACTCAGGAATTACCCCTGGTGGTGCTCAGGGGACCATATGGGATGCTGGAAATCGGACCCGGGTCGGCTACGTGCAAGGCAAATGCCCTACCTGCTATGCTATTGCTCCAGCTCCTGTGTCTTGTATTTCTAATGTGTGATTCTTCCCATTGAGAAGATTATATAGGAAATTGTCTGCCTTGGTAAATTAGGGATCCCATGAGATAGTGGACCTGCTCTCTTCCTTTGTTCTTTAGAATAGTGTTTTCCTTATTTAATGTGTTAAACTTTGGCATTTCTAGAAATTTGATTCTGAGTCTCATTTTGTTTCATCCTTCCCCCCCCCCCCCCCACACACACACACACTCCTTGGGCATCTTAATACCTTAGGCATGACATCCTAAAATGACTCATTATTTCCCGTATAAATGAATCCCCTCACCTTTAGAAGTGGTACCATTTTTCAAGTTGTGCAACCTAAATGCTGTAGTCATTTATTTACTTGTATTTGTAGTTTCTTTCTCTTTCTACCACCTTCAGTTCCCTTGCTTCTGCCTGCAGTGACATTGCTGTTATCCCATTCCCTTCTCCCCCAGTGTATGCTGCCACCATCCTACATCTTAATGTTAATTTCTTATGGGGACTTTCATTTCCTCAGGTAAATTGCTTGATTTCTAGTTCATCATATCTTAATTATTCCAGTTCTGTTATTTCTGCTTCAGCGTTGTGTGTGTATGTGTTTGTGTGTGTGTTTATGTGTGATTTTCCTGAAGTGCATTTCCTCCTGCCTAATTGAATTCTAGTCAGTCTTTAAAAGATTATACACCTCTTCTGTATAAGCTCCATATTTTTCCATAATAGACTCCTTTTTGATGAACATGTTGCTTATGCTTCTAAATTTAGGAATATTCAGATACTTTCATTAGATTTTTTTGGTTGATAATAACTAAGGAATAAAAAAATAACGTAAGATGTATTGCACTTAGCATAGGACTATAAAGTTTTGGAAATTTTAGGTACATGGCATTCTGTTTTATGTCAAGATTTATGCTCTGAAATTGAAGTATATACTAGTTATAATTTTTAAAGGATTTATTTGATGTTTTGTTGCTGTTTTCATTATTGCTTTTCCCTCTAGTCCTTTATTTCTGTACTACAGGTTTTTTTTTTTTTTTAATATTTATTTGTTTGCTTTTTGGGTCACACCCAGCGATGCACAGGGGTTACTCCTGGTTCATGCACTCAGGAATTACTCCTGGCCGTGCTCGGGGGACCATATGGGATGCTGGGAATCGAACCTGGGTCGGGCCACATGCAAGGCAAACACCCTACCCGCTGTGCTATCACTCCAGCCCCTATACTACAGTTTTTATACTTTTTTTATGTAGCCTTAGTTAAAAGGGGTAGAGAGTTGGAATTGACTGTTTAAATTCATGTAGGCAGTCACCTCTAAATTTATGAAAAAAATGACTAATAGTAGTAAGTCATTTATGAAAAATTGTTTGGTAAATATTAAGAACTGTTTCAGTGAATGTAGGTATATAACTTTTAGTCAGTTTGTTTATAAGATGTTATTTTACTTTGTTGTTTCTGGTTTATGTTCCCCAAGTCTAATGGTTTTGATACAGAATCTTTAGAAGATTCTGAGAAGTCTTAGGGAAAGTAAAATGTTTTCCATCAGTAAATTTTGGTTTTGGGACCATACCTGGGTTACTTCTGGCTCTGCATTCTGAAATCACTTCTGGTGGTGCTCAGGGGACCATATGGGGGACTGGGGATTAAATCTGATTGCCACGTGGAAAGCAAGTGCCTTACTGCTGTAAATACTGCTGTATTCCTGCCCCACCATCATTAAATCTTACTTAAAAATGCTCTTTTTGGGGGAGGATGGTGAGTTTTTTTGGTCACATGCTATAGTGTTCAGGGGCTACATCTGTGGGTACTGAGATTGTTCCCTGGCAGTGTTTGGGAACTCTGCCAGGTTATGAACCTGGGCTGGGCCTCTTGCATGAAATTATGCATATTGAGTATTTGTACTATCTCCCCAGCCCCCCAAATATTTTTAAATTGAAGGCAGGAGAATGCTTGAAACTAACACCTACAGAGTATCTTTTGTCCTTGTTAGAGCAAATAAGTACACAAATAGAAAATTTGATTTCCTTCCTACAAAGTCATTGAGACCCATTAGTGATTCATATTTAAGAGTTTGTCAAAGAATTGAAAGTCATGGAATTTGAAACTGATTTGATATTACTAAATATAAAGCTATTTCAGTGACTAGTAAGTAGGTATTATTTGAATAGTTATTAATGAAATGTTTGAGCACTTTTGCTAACTGTCGAAAAGTTTGAAGACTAAAGGTGACTATCTCTATATGTCATCCTGATTAATTTGTTTTTTTGGGGGGAGGGTGGGGGAGAGTTGGGCCACGCTCAGTGGTGGTCAGGGCTTACCTTTGATTCTCTACTCAGGAATCACTCCTGGTAGTGCTTGCGGGGGCCAAAAGCAGTGCTGTGAATTGAACTGGAATTGGCCATTGCAAGGCAAGCACCTAAACCATTCTACTATTTTTTAAGTTTATCTTGTTTAATTTTCCCTAAAACTCTCTTATAAGTTCTAGCATGATAAAGTGATTAAATAGTGTTCTTACATTTATCGTATCAATTTTCTCATATCAAATTTAGAAGGATGCATTGATGCTTAGCAGTATTTTATTTTATAATTTAAAAATATTTCTTGATCCCCTTAATGATTTGTTAGCATCTGTACCATGAAATTTTTGTTTTTGTTATTATTTTTCATTTGTGTGGGGTCCATATCCATTGTGCAAGGTTTACTCTTGGTTCTCTGCTCAAGGATCATTCCTGGTTGTGCTTGGAGAATTGTATGTAGTGCCAGAGAACAAACCAGGGTTGGTCACATGTAAGCGGTTTTATCTGCAGTGCTGTCTCTCAGACCAAGTACCATGGAATCTTTAAAAGGAAATTTGTATATAGTAAAGTTTGAGGAATATGCATGTCATTTAGACTTCAGCTGATTATTTGACAGCTTATATCCTGTATAATGTTGAACAAATCTTTTTTTGAGGAGCCACATCCTGTGGTACTTGGGGAAGCAGGCAGTACCAGGGGTCAAACCTTTGTTTCCCCGCATACAAAATACGTATTCTAGCCCTTTGGGGCTTTGACCCATTAAACAAATCTTAACTACATTGCTAATGAAGCACAATCATTTCTGCATTTCTCAACCTGGGCTAAATGGCCCCTCGTGTGGGTTCCCCAAGATATTTCAAAGGAGGCAAAGATGAAATTCACATAAGGGGGCAGGAAAAGGGAGGTTACGGAGTATGGCACCATACTATACTGGGTGGTCAAACAGTAAGGTGGAGCCACAGAAAGGAAGTTCAGAAGTGGGTCATGGTCTGGAAAATGAGACACTGTTCTAAGTAACCTTTCGGATATTTAAACATTTTGGGAAGTTATTTGTATTGAACATGTACTCTAACACTGAGCTACATCTCTTGCCCCCATAAGCAGATTCTACTTTTCAACTCAAGTTTTGAATTTAGCAGAGTTTTTATGTGAAATCTGACAGGTATATGATAAGAAAGGAAAATTAGGACCATCTGTGTTACCAAGGATAGTTTTGGGGCCTCAGTATGTACCACATGTGCTCTCGCCCTTTGAGCTATCTCTCTAGTCCTTTGACTTACTAGTTTACAACATTGCAGAATTTTAGTGGTAGGTTTATTGCACTGACCATCAAGAAGATCCTTCTACTGTTCTTCCTAACCCACATCGTTTTCCCTCTAGTAACCACCACAATGGTCACCAAATTTAGTACCAAGTTTAGGAGGTTTTTTGTTTATTTGTTTCTGGCCAGTTTGGTGTAGTTACTTATATTTCACATATGAGTAAAATCGTCTTAATCTCAAATTCTGCTCATTTTTGTCCAGAATGGCATAATTTTATCTTTTTTCTTCTTTTTTTTTTTTTGGGCCAGAGTAGCTACTCAATTGCATATGTATACCACAGCTTCTTTATTCTCGTGATTGGATCATTTTAAGATCATGTTTCTTAGCAACTTATAAATACATGATACAGTATCACTATAATCACCATCTGTACATTACATCTCTAGGACTTAATTTTATAATTGCATTATATATACTTTATAACTAATTTTTAAAATTTTATACTATTTGGCCACCTTAAGATACTTCAAAATTAGAAAATATGGTTATAATGATTATTGTTTCCAATTTATTTGAGTACAGAAATTTTTTTTTTTGGTTTTAAATTTTAAACTTGTTATGCAATACTTATATAGAAAATAATTTATGAAGCACTCATTTGGCATTTGTCTTCATCAAACTATCTTGTGTGTCCCTTTATAAAGTTGTTTCACCTTTTTAGGAGGGGGCAGAGGGCACCACACTGTTACTTGGAGGCCTTTATTTTTAGAAAATAGTTGTGCTCTGTGGAACTAGTCTAATTGGGAAGCGTTCTGGGAAGTACCAGCTGCGTTGGCCTCTGCAAGCCCCACTCACTTTACTATTCGCCCAGGCCCCTTTACTGCTTTTCTTAAGGGGTCATGTGTGTGAGTTAAGTGTGATGGGATAGTTATAGGTTAGGGATCAAACCAAGGCTCCAAACATAAAAGGCAAGTATTCTACTGCCTTGTTTTATGCCAGCCCTACCTAAAAATTGTTACTTGAATTGGCTTCAGAAAAGTTGTCCATTTGATCTCTCACATTTGATTTTAGTTTCTCATCACTTCAGACAATTTAGTGCAAAATTGGCAAGTATTGACTATATGGTGACACTGCCAAAGGCACTGAAGTTAGAGCAATGAATGATGTCCTTCAGCCTAAACTGAACTATTTGGATTGTAAGGACATTTAGACCCCATCTAGCAAGTTGAATTATTTGATAGATAAGCTTAGGTTCTCAGTTTAACATGTATAGTTATTAGAAGATGCTCAATGAGAAGAGAGGTTTGTTTTCTGTTTCAAGACCCTTATTGTGTAGACAGAAAGAGATACGAAAATTACCGTGTTATCAGATCATTTTAACTAAATACTTAATAACTGAAGGAACAAAATTTTATGGAAGGACCTTAGAAGAAGAAAGAAATGATAATGGTTTGTAAAAGTCTTCATTGAATATGCTGAGTTTAAACTTGTTTTAAAAAAGAAGCTAACAAGCGTAGTAATTGAGAAGGAAGCAGTACAAACAATTTTAGAATTGTGAATTGAAAATATTATTAAATGTTGAGCGACAGCATCTGGTTTTGTCATTTGCTGTATTCTTATGTACGGTTACTGCTTCAATAATAAATGTATTTAATAATTTTTGTCATGATAACAACTTTTGTGTATTTTTGTTTTTTCTGTAGGTATATGGTGATAATTTAAAACTTTATTCATATCTTTCCTTTGAAAGCTGTAAATATGATTTAGTGGTACACATATATAAAACATTGAGTTCATTTTCTCAATTTTGTTGAAAACAGGATTTAGGACATTGTAAATGCTTGATAAATATTTTAAGAAATTGAATTTGTATTGGTAGGTGTTGTCTACATCTACTGGCCTAACAAAAACAGTGTATAATCCCGCTGCTTTGAAGGCTGCACAAAAAAACTTACTTATTTCCACTTCTGCAATTGATAATAATGAAGCACAGAAAAAAAAACAGGTAAGTCCACTTAGTATGCTACAGTTGTATATAGGATGCTTTCGGAGTATATTTTTCAGTGCTCTTTGTAGTTCAAAGGTGTCTTAATAATTGAGACATTGGGATAATTCAGTGGTAGATGGCCACAGGAATGAAGTTCATGATGGTATAGATTCCATCCCTGCCACAGCCCACATGCCTAAGGGGGAATCCCATCTGCTGTGCTGTTTGGGATGTCTGGTCCACAGCACAGTGTCCAGGTCTTCAGTCACAGCAGCTAAGTATGTAAGTCCCAGTGAGTATCATAAGCAAATGTGACCTCTGATGTGCACTGCAAGCAAGTGTGTATGACCTCTACTGATCACAGAAACAAAGGGAGGGAAACTGTATCTCCCAGGCCACCCAAGTGGTGCTCGGGGCTGCTGTGCTGTAGCCAGTGAGACACGGGGCCACGATTCCAGGGAATGAGCCGGGATTCCATGCTTGCAGCCATGCACCCTCACCCCTCTGCCTTCTCTCTGGCTTCACACATACTTCTTTCCTCTTGATTAATGATTGAAAAAATGAATGGAAATGCAGTTATCGTCATTTTGATTTCTTTCTCCAGGAGGCACTGAAACTTCAGCAAGATGTAAGGAAAAGGAAACAAGAAATTTTAGAAAAGCACATAGAAACACAGAAGGTAAAATATTAGAGTGGCAACATACAACCGTTATAACCTTAATTTGTTTTACAATATATCAGCCATCATGGGAAATAGATCTCAGAAATATATTTCAGTGGAGTTCATAATGGTAAAATGAATATCAATGATAATGTATTTATCAGTAGATAATATATTGGAGATGAGCACATATTATTAGATTTGGGATTAGAGGAGTATAAATAGAACATGATTGTTAACTTGAAGAGAAGCACTTCTTCAGCTAGATGACTCCACAGTAGTTTGTTCTGCAGATGGCATAATGGCACCCTTTTTTAGTGTTAAATTATGCCTTTATTTTACTTTTTTTTTTTTTGGAAGCACTATGATTTACAATACTGTGTATGCAGTGTTCCAACACCAGATCTTCCACCGGAGTATTTACCAGATTGATTTAGGATCATCTAGTCCTGTGCTGTTGTTATTGTAACTGTTAGGCACACCCTCCAGTTGGAGGACTCATTAAAATGAGTCTAATTCAAATTGAGGTATGCTCAAATACAGTAAGACATACATCCTATTTCACAGACGTAATATGACGTGAAAAGGGAATGCATCTTACTAGTTCTTGCTCAATTGTGACATATCGAGATATATTAGATTAAATAGAACATATTGCTTGTTTGTTTTATGTGTTATAAAACGAAATTATACTTTTCCTGCCTTTTTAATGTGTGACTATTAGAAAATGAAAAATTTCATGTCTTGCATTATTTGTGTAGGGCTTCAGTTTTACACTGATTGGATACTTCATTAGTGTTAGGTCTTAAATATAGAAGTAAGGTTATGATAATTAAAAATGTTGAAACTATCTTTTCTAACTTAAACTTGGAAATTATTGATAAAGAGATGTGCTTTATACTAAAAAATGCTTTATATCAAAAATTGAAGCTATCTTGACCCAGAATATTATAAAGTTTTGTGATTTACAATACTGTGATTTACATATTCCATGGGCTAGAGCAATATGGCACAGAGGGTAGGGCATTTGCCTTGCACGCAGCAGACCAAGGTTCAGCCTCTGCCCCTCTCGGAGAGCCCAGCAAACTACTGAGGGTATTCGCCCACATAGCAGAGCATGGCAAGCTCCCCGTGGCATATTTGATATGCCAAAAACAGTAACAACAAATCTCACAATGGAGACGTTATTGGTGCCTGCTGGAGCAAATCGATGAACAGCTGGAGGACAGTGCTACAGTACTACATATTCCGTGTCACCTTATTTCTGATTCATGTTGAAGTTATCTTTACTTTTTTTTTCCTGTAACTTAAAATTTGGGGGGCACCTCCCAAGAGGTGTTTCTCAGCTATGCAGGCTCTCTGTGAGGACCCAAGGATGACGTACTGCTTGTGCCAGTGATAACCCCGGCCATCCTGGTTGTGCTTGGGGCCTCTAGGGCTACACCTAGCAATACTACAGAGGGCCTGTTACTGGGTTTCGAGGCAAGCACCTTAACCCCGATATGGTCTCTATGGCCTCAGTGTCTCTTTTCTAGGCTATTTGGCTATAAGTCTCTGTGACAAAAGTAACTAAATATTCTCTTTTTAAAATATCTCACTTTGTGAAATGAATTCTTAAATAAATATTATTCCAAGACTTAGGTTGTAGGGCCAGAGTGATAGATAGTATAGCGGATAGGGTGCTTGCTTTGCACATGGCTGACCACGATCTCTGGCATCCCATGTAATCCCCTGAGCACCGCTAGAAGTAATTCTTGAATGCAGAGCCAAGAATTACCCCAGAGCACCACCAGTGTGCCCCACCCCCTTACACACTCCCCTATAAAAGTTCTGATTGTAGACTGTATTTCTGTATTTGAAGTGAGGATACTTAGATTCCAGTAAATGGGGTAGAAAGTAAAACTTTTGGTATTATTTGAAATTAACAACTTTTCATAGATTGAATTTCTAGCGAATGTTGGCTTTGAACTAGTGTTCAAAGAGACCTTAGTGTGCTCTGAATGAAGAAAGGTTGACTTAAATTGAGATATCTGACATTAGCAGATCTACCTACAAATCTGGCAATATAGTGGTTATAAGCCTTAATTATGAATACGTACTGTGAAAGTAGTGGTAAGTTATTTTTTTATGTGTTTACATTGTTTTGTTAGAAATAGTAGGAATAAGTATCTTTCTTCTTGGCAGATGTTAATCTCAAAACTTGAGAAAAACAAAGCAATGAAGTCAGAAGATAAAGCTGAAATAATGAAAACTTTAGAGGTTTTGACAAAAAATATTACCAAGTTGAAAGACGAGGTCAAAGCTGCTTCTCCTGGACGCTGTCTTACTAAAAGTATAAAAACTAAGACTCAGGTATTTTCATTTGTGTTGCTATTCATATTACTGGTTTTTAAGAAACATGAAAGTACTGCATAACTTAGAACGTAGTTTCTCTTTAAGTACATTAGCTTGAAATTTAACCATTGTTTGCTATCATTTCCCCCCTCTTCATTAATAAGTAAACATAAGTAAACAAACTAGTAATTTAAATCTTCTGGATTATGTTTGGAAGGTTAATTAGGAGGATAGTTAACAATTATCAGGAAAGATTAACTTGAGAAGAAAATTTATATGTATTTGAGTGCTTAAAGAGTTTGGATTTATTTTCTGAGTAGTTGGGAATAAAGGTAAATAAACAGAATTAGCACTCTTATAGCGCTGTACAGAATGAATTAATTGAAAGGGGGGAATCCTAGTATTTTATTAACCCATGGAACGATAGCACAGCGGGTCGGGTGTTTGCCTTGCATGTGCTGACCCAGGATTGATAACTCTGTCCCTGTAGGAGATCCCGGTAAGCTACCGAGAGTATCCTGCCCGCATGGCAGAGCCTGGCAAGCTCCCCATGGTGTATTCGAAATGCCAAAAACAGTAACAAGTCTCACAATGCAGACATTACTGGTGCCCGCTCGAGCAAATCGATGAACAGCGGTAGGACAGTGCTATAGTGCTAGATAGAAATAAGTGAACAAGATAATTTCAGATTTTTTTTAAATTTTTATTTTATTTTAATTTTTTTGCTTTTTGGGTCACACCTGGCGATGTACAGGTGTTACTTTTGGCTCTGCACTCAGGAGTTACTCCTGGTGTTGCTCAGGGGACCATATGGGATGTTGGGAATTGAACTTGGGTTGGCCGCATGTAAGGCAAAAACCCTACCCGCTGTGCTATCTCTCCAGCCCCTCAGATGTTTTTTAGATTTAAAAAAAAAATACGGAATTTATACATCTTATTGTGTTTCTGTAGAAAACCATCACATGTTATACTGATACTTCTGGTTGTAGTCTAACACCCTAGTGCTTTTCCTTTTTTCTCTTTTTTGTTTCTGGGTCATATTTAGCTGTGTCCAGGACTTAATTCTGGCTCTGAACTCAGGGATCACAATTGACAGTGTATGGGGACCAAATGGGATGCTGGGGATGGAACCTGGGTTGACCATGTGTAAGGCAATAGTTATTCACTATTCTGTTATAGTGGACAATAGACATTTTCTATTTTGTTTCTTCAGTCCTTTTTGCTTTTAGCCCATATTTTATCTTTCTTCCCATAATAACAGTGTGGTTTCCACTAATATCATTATAGTTGACTCTTTTGTAGTACTGTAATCCTTTCCAAATAGATCCTGAGTTACTACTTTAGTACTTTTTCTAGCTAAGTAACTGTAAAATTCAGGATTTATTTGCATTCTTCACAACCTCTCAGTATGTTTCACTATATAATATTATTTCCCTTTTATGTAGCTGTCAGTGTATTCAGTTTTGCATTTCATGCCCCTGCTTTGCTCATTCCGTAGGTTTTCTAATTTTAACATTTATTTTGTTGGGGGGGGGGGGAGTGTCCTCCCATATAGTGCTCAAGTACCCAGGGATAGCTACCATCTACACTCAGCACATCTCTATGAGCCTAGTGGTTCAGTGTTTGTGTCTAGCAGAGTTGAGGGCCAACAAGGGCTACTCTCTGCTTGAATGCCACCAACCATCCAGAGCACGAACTCAGGGCTTGGAGCATGTAAGTAAGACTTGTGCTCCAGTCCTTTGAACTGTGTCCCTGGCCCTAATTTTATTTTTGAATGCATTAAACAGTAGCAGGATTAAAAAGCTAGGCTATATCAAAAATTTTTCTTAGCACCTAGAGAAATAGTACAGGAATTAGAGCACATGCCTTGCATGCTGCCAACTCTAGTTCAATCTCTGTGACTACTGAGTCCACTCAAGGTTCTGAAGAATGCAAATAAATCCTGAATCTTACTCTGTACTCAGGAATCACTCCTGGTGGTGCTCGTGAGGCTGTTTGGGATATTGGGGATTGAACCTGGATCGGCCATGTGCAAGGCACAGACCCTACTCGCTATACTATCACTCCAGCCCCATATAAAAACATCCCTAATGAAAAGTAGTTACAGTGGGAAAATTTTAAGAAGCCTTGGATTAGACAGGAAGTGCTATGGTGAAAGTACTAGAGAGAAGGAATCTATAGATTAAACAGGAATGTATACACGCTCATTGTAATGAGTTTTGTGTAAATGAAGAATAATATCACTTAAGATGTTAATTATTTTTAGATGCAGAAAGAATTGCTTGACACAGAACTGGATTTATATAAGAAGATGCAAGCTGGAGAAGAAGTCACTGAACTTAGGAGAAAGTATACAGAATTACAGTTGGAAGTATGTTTTCATCATAACTGTGTATTTTGCTAAGGAGGAGCAGATGTAGTTATGATGGTTAATTTGAAAATACATTCCTCTGTGGTCAGCAATTTTTGATTCTGGCATACATACTGGAAGTTGTTACTAGAAAGGGGAGAGATTTACAAATATTTTAAGGTTAATTAAAAGAAAATCTCTTGCTTACTGCAAAGTGGCAATACTTCTGCCTGCGTCCACTTTGGTGACTATTCTTTTTATTTTATTCTTTAAATTTTTATTTACTTTGATTTGAGGGCCCACTAGCAGTGTTCAGGGCCTCTGCTGGCTCTCTGCTAAGGGATCACTCCTGGAGGGCCCAGAAGTATGGTGCCGGTGATTGAACCCAGGTTGGCTGTGTGCAAGGCAAGCGCCTACTACTATATTACTTCTCTGATCCTTTCTACTTATTTTTGGTCTCGCCTTTCCCGGGTTCAGAATCTTCTGAAGACTTTCCATGTATTATGGTAGTGTTCTGTGCACATAGAACTGTATTGAAGTACATGCTTAAGTTTTGCCTATAGATGGTGCTGTGGGTGTTTATAAAAACAAGAGAACTTTGTTATAATTTAGTTACATGATTATTTAAGGAAAAAACCTAGAGAAGTGATCCCTATACAGAGGAACTTTTAATGTTTGACACATTTAAAGAAATATATTTTCAAATACAGAGAATTAATATATTTGATTTAAATGTATTATCTGAATGTAGTTGTACAATTTTATCACTGTTTGACACCACATTTAAAAAAAAATTGAAGGTTATTCCTTTCATTGAATCTTAAAATAATCTTTTTTTCCCAAAAGCCTGGTTTATTGACATTAATATTTTCCCAAATATTTTAAAAAAGAATTTCTTGTTATCTAGAAGAAAGGTTACTATTACCATAGACCTTCAAATACTATGAAATGAATGAATCCTATCATTTAGGTATAATTATGTTTTTCTGGTTTTCATTTTGCTTTTGGTTTTCTATTGTGCTAGGATGGGGTAAGGGGAGAGTATTTCCAATGATTTCTGAGGCCCTAGTGCCTGTCATCTTTGTTTTTTATGATGCCTTAGAAAACAACACTAGAATGAGGCACGTTTAATAACAAAAACATCACTAAGTTAGCATTGGTTTTCTAGATTTCTTAATTATCTCCTTAAAAACTAAAAACCAACTTAAATTTCTGAGATCCTTTTTCTTAGGAAGTTATTTAAGTACTATGTCAAATTGTATAAAAAATGTAGCAACTGATTTGTATTGGTAATTATGATCTTTAATAAGTGTGTAATCTCTTCTAGGCTGCAAAACGGGGGATCCTTTCATCGGGTCGGGGTAGAGGAGTTCATTCACGGGGCCGAGGTGCAGCTCATGGCCGAGGCAGGGGGAGAGGTCGAGGTCGAAGCGTGCCTGGTCATGCTGTGGTGGATCACCGTCCCCGGGCTCTGGAGATCTCTGCCTTTACAGAGAGTGATAGAGAAGATCTTCTTCCTCATTTTGCGGTACTTTCTTACTGCCCAACAAAACAAATACAGATAACCATTGTTGGGAATGATGGATATAATTAAAAAGGAAATTATGAAAGTGACATGAGTAATCTAAACCCATTACTCTGATTAAAGGGTGTGATTTATAGACAGTAATTTTTTTGCTACTTATTTTTTTAAAAATTGTAAGGGTTGATTGTTCAAGTATCATCTGAAAGAAATGTTTCTGTTAACATAGACCTATCTATGGATATTGTTAATTGAACGAAGTCCTATAATTTAGTTATATTTAATGATTTCTACCCCTGGGATAGAGGGTCTCCCCAGTGGTATTCAGGTATCTGAGGATTGGGGGACTACCCCCATTGATACTTGGCTTGGAAGTGATTCAGTGCTCAGCCTGGTGATGTTGTGCAGTATGGTCCTGCGGGTGCTAGGGGTACCAGGGCTACCAGGGTTAATCTGGTGCTTGGGAGGCCAAGCAGTATCAGAAACTGGTCTTATAGGATTGACATGTGCAAAGCTGGTACTCTGTCGCTTTGAGCCACCTCCTATCCCTTAGTGATTACTTTTAAGGAAATATAAATATATCCCACAAGCCATCCAGGTAATAAAAGATGGATTATTTTATTTTTTTATGGTACCAGTGATTGAATTGAGGATTTCACACATTAAAATGGAATTTTTGTTGTTGTTGTTTATGTTGTATTCTCTATTCAGCCAACTTAGAATGAAACAAATAATTTTGGTGTATGATCTTGAAGTTGGTCTTCTTAGTTATGGTCAGGATAATAATTACAGGGAATTAGTCCAATGATGACACACTGATCTATCAGAAAAGAGAATGGGATTCTAATCCTCGCTCATTTATTATTTAACTCATTTTTCCCCAGCATCCATTGAACTCATATTTAGAAAGCAAATGGGAATTTCTACCTGCCAAAAGGCCTTCCTATTTAAATTTTGAGATTTTTCAATGATATAAGATTTTGCTGTTAAGCGTTAATCTTGCCCTCAAAATTACAGTAATTGTTCTGGAGATAATGAAGGAAATAACCTATTCTTTATCCTCAAGGATTTTACATATACTGATTTAATAAAGACAAATTGAACTACAACCATAATTTATATTCAAGTTTGTTAAAACTATAAGCGTTTAAGTAAATTAGAGAAGCTTCAGTCACACAAGTGTATATTAGAACAAGAACAGCACAGAAAAACTTTTTGTTTTTGTTTTTGTTTTGGTCTGGTGGTGCTGGGGCTTAACTCCTGGCTCTGCACTCAGGAATAACTCCTGGTGGAGCTTGGGAGACCATTATTATTGTGATGAATATAATGCTTTCTATAATTTATCTCCTAGGACCAGTACTAGTAGTAATAAAAATTGTAGCTAAAATTTGCAGCTCATATTTTGTGGCAGGCATTATTCTGATACCTGATATGAGTCATATAAAGATTATAATAAGTTATTTTGACAATTCTGAGGTAAAATACCTGTGTTATGTCCATTTTAGAGATGAAGAAAATGAAGCTTGAAGAAATTAAAGTTCACACAGCTAGCAGCTGATAGCTGCGATCTGATTGATCGTAGAGTTCATTTTCCCTACTCTGCAGAATTTTTCTATGTAGAGTGTGTATATGTGTATTAAATAAGAATTGAGATTTGTGGTTATAATTTAAAATGAGATTGTGACTATAATTTAATTTGGAGCATAAGAAAGGAGAAATAATTATAAATAAAGGACTGGAATTTTATGTGATAAAGGTTGCTTTTTGTCAGAAAATTCTTCTAAAAAATAAAAAAAATTAAATTCAGCAAGTGAAAAATGAGCTTAACTAAATGTAGTTTTTAAACATTTGATACCAGCATGTATGGAGTGTAAGAGTGAAAGCAGGGTGTAAAAAATTTTTTTTTTTTTTTCATTTTGGACCACACTGGTGAGTGTCCTGGGGAGCCATGTGATGCTGGGGGTTGAACTCAAGCTCCCAGATATGTTCTAGTTTTTTTCAGCTATCTCCTGACCAAATAGAGTGTTAACTTTTTCTTTATAACAAAAATGACCTGGACTCTCATCTAGCAGATTCATTTGGGAAAATTGCCTAAAATTTTCTGGATCTTTTTCACCACCAACTTTAAGTTGGGAATAAAAAAAAAACTCACGAATATTCTAATGATGTTCAGTATTCTACTTTAGAAAGAATTTAGTATGATTTGGAATAAAAGTATACTGGAAGAGCATTATAAAACTCAGATTTTTGACTCTTGTTTCTTTATTTAAATAAGAGTTCAGTCTACAGTGTAACTTTCCCTAAGAAAGTATAGAATTGTAAATGTAAATAATATTAGTAGATTGGGTCAGGAACTGTTTTACAGTAATAAGGAACTAAAATACTTCACCCTTCTTTTCTCTTAATCACCTAAAATTATGTATTGTAGGTTATATTTATTGGTATTTTAATATTTAAAAGCCATTAGGATTTTGGATGTTTCAAAATATTTATTTGGAGGAAATACTTTTTTTTTTTAATTTAAAGCAATATGGTGAAATTGAAGATTGTCAGATTGATGACTCTTCACTTCATGCAATAATTACATTCAAGACAAGAGCAGAAGCTGAAGCAGTAAGTATTATAAATAATCTACTTTATTAAAGACTCATTTACTGTCTTAGAAGTACTGCTTTACAGTTTTAGCATAATTAATTTTTTGATGGAATCTTTAAAAAATTTTAGTTGAGATTTTGTATTTTATTTGCTCGAGCGGGCCCAGTAACGTCTCCATTGGAGACTTTATTGTTACTGTGTTTGGCATATCAAATACTCTCGTAATCTGCTAACAGATTATAATCTTATGCACATAATTCTGACACCACACCCATAACCACTGTACCCACCTCTCTCTCTTAAGATCTCTGACAATGCCCTCCTTTCAAGTCCCCTGTTACCCCTTCTCTCCTCTGAGACACACACACACACTCTCTCTCTCTCTCTCTCTCTCTCTCTCTCTCTTTCTCTCTCTCTCTCTCTCTCTGAGTTGTGTGGATCAGTTCTCCTGTTATGTTGCCCTTGGATCTTGGTTGCTATCTTGCTATGTATCCCATATATGAGAGAGACCGTTATTGATAAACACTATTTGATGCTGAAACATATGAAGTGGAATCTATAGCCATAAGAATGTCCTGTCACAGGTGACATTTATATAACATGATATAATTAGACTACATACTCAGTGCCGTGTTGATTGTCAGGTTGTATTGTTCTGAGACAGGAACTTCTCCTTTTCTTTTTTTTTTTTTTTACTTCTCCTTTTCATATTCTACCAGGTAATACCATGCAAAGCCCTATTTCCCATATCCTTTTTCTTAGCTGACAAAGTCTCTGATAAAATGAATGATGAAGAAGTTGAATTATAATCCTGATGACTGCTTTTTGTAGGCTTTATCATCTGTTTTCATGCCCCAGTCCCTACCTTAGCATGCAGTAGGCTGGCACCTCCCAGTATTTCTACAAGTCATGATATTAGAGTTCTTTTATAGGACTTTTTTTTTTTTTTATCTTATTTGTTTGTTTTGGAGTTTTGGGCCACTGTACTCAGAACTGACTCCTGGATCTGTACTCGGGGAACACTCCTGGCAGGGCTGAATGGAAAGACTGTGGTGCTAGGGATTGAACCCAGGTGGGGCTTGTGGAAGACGCGGGCCCTACCTTCTGTCCTGTCTCTTTGACCCAGTGTGATTTTAACTTTGTCCCTCCAGTTGTCTTCTCAAAGAATAGTCAGTGCTCCTTTGTCTTCCATGTGAATTTAAAAGATGAGAAAAAAGAACATGGGTGTCAGGACTTTGGTTTGTAAAACTCTGTTTAACCCTGTGGGCTTTTTTGTTTTGGTTTGGATTGTAGAGAAGATTGTAGCTCGTTGTCCTTCGATAATATAGTAAAGTGTCCATTTGTAACTAATGTGAATGGAAGAGTGAGGTTCTTGGAGAAAGTTTGACTGTGTTTATGTAAGTTTTTTAAAGCTTCTAAATTGATTTATTTCCCTTGTTTCACCCTGCAGTACAGTTGTACCTTGATGGGGCTTACTTCTGTAGCACTGTAATTAGTTAAAAACTGGATCTGAACTTAGAAAAAATGTTTAATGGGGTCTTGAAATAACCTAATTTTAGGTTGGTAGAGAGTAGTAGATAATTTTGCTGAAAGCAATTCCTAGTTTTATCTTTTTGTTTTGTTTTTGTTCTTGTACCATGCCCCACAGTGCTTAGGGCTTCCTCCTGGTCCTGTCCTCAGGGATCTCTCCTGACTGCTTGAGGGGACCAGGAATCTGCCTGGCAAGTACCCATAACTCTGTACTGCCTCTCTGACTCATGCACGTTTTAGATGGTCTTTCTTTTAAAGATCTTTTGTGAAACCTAGAAATTTATTTTGATTTTAGGCAGTTACAGTGTTGAAGTTTATAATATTGATATACAAAATTTCTGCACCCCACCACTGTGACCTCCACGGAAGTGCCTAGAGCCTTCCACCAATGTCTATGTGTTGCCTCTAGTCTGGTCATAATTCCCCTCCAGAGGGAGCAGTTTTCAGTTTTTTGGTTTTTGTTTCTTTTCAGACTTCAGAAAATAGTAACTAAGCTCTACTATTGCTGAGACCGGGATGGACACATTAAATGAATAAAAAATCATTCAGGCTTCCAGGCGCTTACTGACAGACTGGAGCCACTATTAGCAAATTCTTTGTTGTTGTTGTTTTCCTTAAACAGATTCGTTTCTACAAAGTTGGTGTCAGTTGCAGGGTCAGTTGATAACATTTTAATTATATTTTCTTTATTAAAAGACTGAAAGGAAAACTGCAGTTACTATGATAAACAGTTGAAATTGAGTTGTGAGGAAGTTGTTAACCCATAAACATTTCCTTAGGCTGAAAAATAAATTTGGTAGCATTTTATTTTAGAAAAAAATTTTTTTAGTTGAGTTCAGTTGTCCTTATATAAACAGGGTATGTTGCGGCCATGTGACATCTTATTATCTCATTCTTGCTTTGGACAACCTGGCAGGCTACCGAATGTAACCTGCACACACGGCAGAGTCTGGCAAACTCCCTGTGGCGTACCCAGTATACCAAATACCAGTAACAATGATGGGTCTCATTCTCCTAACCCTGAAAGAACCTTGAATATGGCACTTTTTAAAATCTCAGGGCTAGGACGAAGGAGATGTTACTGGTGCCTCCTCGATGAACAACAGGATGATTGTGATCATGATTGTGATGTGCTAGAGTGGCAGATTTCAAACTTGTTCATTTTTTGCGCAGGGGGCCCACCCAGCTTGCTCAGGGCTTGCTCCTGGCTGTGCTCGGGGGTGTGGCACTGCGAACAGGTTTGGGAGGGCATGCGCAGTGCTAGGAATCAACCAGGGTCAGCTCTGTGCGAAACAGGCACCACACACCTTAACCTTAGGTTTCATTTGGCTGCATCAAAATTACAGGTTTTAAGGAATTGATGTTTAAGTAATGAGGCTAGAAATTCTGAAATTATTGTTTATCATTGGGATGCCGGATTTTAATTTTGTCAAGGAAGAATGCTTTAAAACATGAAAGAAGAAAAAGTAGCCTCCATATGATATGTTAGAAAGTAAATTTTTTCTGCTCTCCACTTAGACCCATATCTTTCTAAGGATCTGGTATTTAGTTTCAAAATAGGTATAGTTCCTTTCTCCTAAGAATCAGTGCCAGATAAAACTCTTGATCCTCAAATTCCTAAGAGGTATATAGCTTTTATATCAGAAAAATCGTGTTTTGCTAATGCCTTTTTGTATCGTTCCTCAACTCCCAACAGTTGTGAGGATTCACTGATTCAAAACTTACTAAGTACTCATATCAGTGCCTGGGACATATTAAGTCCTCTTATTGTTGGCTATTGTGTTTTTGTTTTATAGGAAGAAAAATGATTTGTAAACTAAAACTAGATATGGGATAGGGGAAATAATTTAAAAACTCTTTAGGCTTAGAAACTTTGGATTTCATTGAAAACAGCGCACCATCAGTAAGTAGTAAATTTATAGAAAGAACAATATGGATTCCACTGAAAAAAATTAAATCATGACTGAACAGTCGTGTGTATGTGTATGTGTTGATAATTTACTTAATAAAGTACTGCTATACAATGGGCAAGCTGCTTAAGAATTAGTAAATGTAAAATTTATGAGAGTGACCATTGTGGCTTGAATTAAAAAGTTTGAGAAATGGAACCCTTTTTGATTAGATTCTAAAAATTAGATTTTATATGTATTTTTAGAACTTGTCCTTTCTGTCAGTCCTTCCTAAATAGTGTATACTGTGGTTATAGACAACATTCATAAATATAGTTTCAGCTTTCTGTCAGAGATTTGTTTCATCATTATGGTATTAAATTGCAAGGTGTACTAGGATTGTAACTTAATGCTTCTGAGTTTAAGTTAATTTTTTTAGTGTTGTGAATAGTGTTTCCACAAGAGCTTCTCTAACAGGATTTTTATTAGATTTGTTTATAGTGTGTAATATTTCATTTAGACTCACAATATAAGCACTGTAGCACTGTCCTCCCCTTGTTCATCGATTTGCTCAAGCGGGCACCAGTAACATCTCCATTGTGAGACTTGTTACTATTTTTGGCATTTTGAATATGCCACAGGGAGCTTGCCAGGCTCTGCTGTGCGGGCGGGATACTCTCGGTAGCTTGCTGGGCTCTTTGAGAGGGGCGGAGGAATCAAACCCTGGTGGGCCGTCTGCAAGGCAAATGCCCTACCCGCTTTGCTATTTCTCCAGCCCCACAGTATAAGAAGATAAATGGGTCTGTCCAGTCTTGCTCAATCCAGCTTCTCCCAAATGTCAGTTCTTTGCATAATTGTATACTGTTTGCTAAATTTATCAGATTTCAGCCACTCTTTCTGATTCAATTTTCCATAAGTTTATTTACAGTTATTCTGCATGCTATTCTCCATTGGTCAGTTTTCTTTTTGTGTACCTTCATGTTTTAATTTATTTTATAACATGTTAATAATTTTTCAAGGCTACTGTTTGGCTTTACTCGTGCCATGATTATTCAGTATCTCTTGGTAGACTTTATATACTTTCCCCCCTTTTTAATTGAATATATTTTATATAAAATTTAGAATGTTTTTATTTTTATATAAATTTAGAATAATATTTTGTATGGTTCCAGAAAGAAGAATATGTGAGAGAATTAATCTTTTTTTTTCATTTTTTGTTTTTTGGGTCACACCTGGTGATGCTCAGGGGTCACTCCTGGCTCTGGTGGTGCTCAAGGGACCATATGGGATGCTGGGAATTGAACCCGGGTCAGTCGCGTGCAAGACAAACGCCCTACCCACTGTGCTATCGCTCCAGCCCCAATAATATGTTAATAATACTATATCTTCCTCTAGTTTATATCACTCTTTCGAGTTCTTCAATCTGGTTCTCTAAGAGTTGTTTTTTATTTGTGGGGAGAGGGGGGGGTCACACCCAGCAATGCACAGGTGTTACTCCTGGCTCTGCACTCAGGACTTGCTCCTGGCGGTGCTCAGGGGACCATATGGGATGCTGGGAATCGGACCCGGGTTGGCCGTGTGCAAGGCAAGCAAACGCCC